TACGACGCATTCCTATTGACACCGTGAAGCAGGCGAGAGGGTTCTCTTTTCCCTCCCGATGCCATTGTTGTACTGAGACCGGTACCTTTGAGATCGAGACTTTCACCCATCTTTTCCTTGAGAGTGAGACTGTGAGGAGAGTGTGGGAGCACTATGACAGATATACTCATATACCCTTACCCACTACAGACAGTTTCTTTGAGCTCCTGAGTTTTTTCTCACACCGCATATACAGTAGACACGTGGGCTTCCTTATTCCTTGTCTGATCCTTTGGGCCACCTGGACAGAGAGAAATAATGCGAAGCATAGGGATATTATATTTTCTTGTGCTCACATTATCTTGCAGGTTGACAGACACCTTTCTCTTCTCACCGCCCTGGGTAGACTCACGATGAGAGACTGGACAGGGTGTACTCCGCCTCACCGTTTGAGGCCACCACATCCTTTACCTGTCCAGCTTTCACGACCCAGGCCCGTTGTTTGGCTGAAACCTAAGGCCCCTTGGGTTAAGCTAAACACTGATGGCGCTTTCGACAGACATACCGGAGCTGCTGGAGGAGGGGGCCTGATTAGGGACCATGATGGGGCACTCATCTCTGCCTTCCATGGGCCACTCCGGGCCTCCTCGAGTTATGATGCAGAGATTCAGGCGCTCCAGATTGGTCTTGAGATTGCCGCCTCGATCTCCTCTCATGTCTGGATTGAGATGGATGTTGCGGCTGTTATCACACTTTTGACATCTGGCCACCAGGGCTCATGGCAGATACAACATCCTCTTATGCGTATCAGAGACACCCTCCGCTCGATCCACTACCAGGTCTCACACATATTCCGAGAGGGGAATCGGCCCGCTGATCTTCTTGCTAGCACGGGGGCATCTTTACCCCAGAGACGCACCCTCCTACCTGAGGACATTCCCCTCCGGCTTCGGACGCTCATTCGGATGGACCAGTTAGAGTACCCATCCTTCAGATTCGGTCGACCGCCACCACCTGCCCCTGACTAGATTTGACATTTTGGACACCATGCTAGGTCACTCTGACCAGGTCGACCTTTATGAGGATTTGACTTTAGATCCATATCTGATATTTTTGGTGATCCTTGTATTTTTTATTTTATTTTTTATTTTATTTTCTTTTTTTGATGTTGCTCTTTGTAGTCTCGACTTGGATGTAGACCTTTGACTTTTTAGCCCCTCTGGGCCATTATATATACTTGCATTTGGAAAAAAAAAAAAACTTTTAAGCAAAAAAAAAAATGTTTATAATGTAATATTTAACGAATGTAGAATTGTTATAGTAATTTTGGAAATGAGTTTTATAGTAATATTTAACGAATTTTGGTGAGATTAATACCCTTTTAGAGATTAAAGTTTATTGACCTAGAATTTACATTGTGATGAATTATATGTTTGTAATGTAATATATAAGTAATGTACATTGTGATTAATTCTTTGAATTGTTAAGATATCTTCAAGACATGTTATGTTGTGTTTAAGTTTTCAAAAGTTGGGTATTTCTAGAGATTTAAGCTCCTGTTATGTAGCCTTATGGATGATCGAAAAGGTTTAATGAAAATATTTAGAAAAAGAAAAATGTTGGGTTTTGCCTTTAAATGTTAAACCTTACTTGGCCGTGTTTTTGTGATTGTTGAGGCTGTGGGATGTGTTTTACATTCTGAATTTGTGGTTATTTTTAGAGTTCTAATATCATTCCTTAAAGCCTTTTCTAAGTTTGGTTTGATGCTTGAGAAAAATAAAATAGAAAAGAAAAGTGTTACATATGATTTTTGTTTGGCCCCATTTGTGACATTTTGGTTGCTAAACATTATGGTGACGATAAGCATGCTAAAAATGTGCATTTGGAGATCCTAAGGTCATTTATGAAGCCTTTATTATGTTGTGATTTGAGAAACTAAAAATAAAGAGTATAGGTTGATTCCATGTCGTCGCTGGAGCGATGAGTGTTGCTGGCGCGTCACACGTGATGGCCGCGGGCGCGGCACTCGTCGCCAGCGAGACAGTAGAAACTTAGCCTCTGAAGGCTGTCTGAAGGACGTCGCGGCCCCGTCGCGTCCGCGACACCAAGGTTGTCGCAGGATCTTTTTTTTTTAAAATATTATGTGTACATGTTCCTCAATTTAATGCCGAGAGTAATATTATCTTTGTAATGTATTCGTATAATGTGTTTAATCTATTTGAGGTTGGTACCTATTAGTGTTGATCTATATGATCTTAGTAGTTATTGTTTGTTTAATCTATTTAAGTTTAGTGTTGGTACTTATTGCTTGTTTGATGTATTATAACGACTTATGTTTTCTTTCTTTTTTTTAGGAATTCGAAAGGAATATGCGTTTGATATTCCTTTGAAACTGAAAGCAGTCGTGACGAATCGGTGCAACATGAAAGTTGTCGGTGACGTATTTCACAACCTAGACGATGCACATAAAGATCTATTTCTAGAGTCTTGCTTCCGACCACTAGTACATATTCCCGAGCTCAAATTGTCGTCACAAATAGTCCATCAGGCAGTTCTTAGGACATTGAAAGCGTCCGAAGATGAGAAAGATGCCGTGTGGTTTAGATTTGGAGAGAAGGAGTGTAGATTCGGGTTACAAGAGTTTTCTCTTGTAACCGGGTTGAAGATTGTGGCTTTGGATGAGAATTCCTACGACGTCCCCAAAACGAATAGTTCGCTTTTGCAACTCTTCGAGGATAAGCGGGGGACTATAAAACGCAATGACTTGCTCGTTGAATTTCATAAGCTTATAGAGGATGAAGACCAGGAGTTGAAGTTCAAATTGGGGCTTGTGATTGTCTTGGAGCATGTTCTTTTGTTTGCAGAGGTCGAGACTCTTGTAGACGAAAGATGGTTTCATTTGGTGGAAGATTTAGAAAAATTCAATAATTTTCCTTGGGGCAACTTGTCGTACGAGCAGACTGTAAAAGTGTTCAAGCGGACCTCTTTGGGGAACGGACCAAAATCAAAGTCCGTAGAATATTCTATGCATGGATTTCCCATGGCAATCATGGTACTTTTCATGTAAACATATATTTATGTTTTTTTTTATTATTTATTTTTGTTACTTGTATTCATAATTATACTCTCTTGTTTGCTAAGCAGATTTGGGCATTTGAGGCGCTACCTAATTTCGGAAGAGAATTTGCTGAAAAAGTTGTTGGTAATGTATATCCGAAAATGTATTGCTGGAAACTGGATAAACAGTTGCGAGCCAAGACGCTTCAGTCTTTTTTTGAGAGGGTGGAAGTAAGTTTTGTTATAGATTATTCTTCTTATTTATTGTTATACTCTTAAAATTCTAATTGAAATTCTATTAAAATCAGGTTGAAGTTCGACGAACGTTGGAACCCTCTTCCTGTGAAGTGGACACATCATTTTTTAATGAAATGGGTATAACTTCCTGGACAGAAGTTAGTGTCTGTCAACTTGAGGAAGAAGAAGGCAGTGCATCCAAAGCTGAGGATGAAGAAGCTGATGAATCTTCTAAACCCGATGAAGAAGAAGAAGAAGAAGAAGAAGAAGAAGAAGAAGAAGAAGAAAGAAGAAGAAGAAGAAGAAGAAGAAGAAGAAGAAGAAGAAGAAGAAGAAGAAGAAGAAGAAGAAGAAGAAGAAGAAGAAGAAGAAGAAGAAGAAGAAGCGTCTCAACCTCCACCACAACCTCATGTTATTGATGAAGAAAGGATCGCAAGTATACTGAGGACAGTGGTGAAGGACGAGGTGAGGACAATAGTGCAGGAAGAGGTGAGGAAAGTGTTGAAGGACGAGATAAAAATTATTTCGGAGCAAATGGAGATGAAGATGGACAATTTGTTCGTGCGTCTCAACCTCCACCACAACCTCATGTTATTGATGAAGAAAGGATCGCAAGTATACTGAGGAAAGTGGTGAAGGACGAGGTGAGGACAATAGTGCAGGAAGAGGTGAGGAAAGTGTTGAAGGACGAGATAAAAATTATTTCGGAGCAAATGGAGATGAAGATGGACAATTTGTTCGAGAGAATGAAGAATGCGTTTTTTGAAGCAAAAGATAAACCATCTACCCGAGGTACTTATGATGGGACATATAATGATCCGGATGATGAGGTGGAGCAAAATGTGCGGGATAAGAAGACCGTTGATCCAAGTAAAGTTTTTTTTTTATATATATAAATGCATCATTTTAATATTATTACTCGATCATTGTAATATATTTTGTAGTAAAAAATTATTTTAAAAGAAATGCAAATCATGTCATTGAACTATTTAATTATTTTTCTACTTCGCAGACACGATGAAATCACCATCTCCGATGCCCGAACAAGAAATGGCTGGACTTCATGATGATGCGGGTATGTAAAGTATAATTGTAACTACTATTTAATATGACGGTGGATTCTTGTAAATATAACAATATTGATTGTTTTATTGCTTATTATAGGTTTTCTGACCCACCCGTCATCAGCCATTGTTGTGTACGAAGAGAGACAACTGCCGCCGACAAAAATTGAGATGGAGAACACTGTTGAAGATGATCCGGCGGCAGCAATTGAGTTGGAGAATACCGATGAAGATGATTCATCTACAGCAATTGAGATGGAGATCTCCGATGAAGACGATCCACCTGAGTCTCCTAAGGGGAGAGGGCACCGGAAGAAAAGAAAGGCCGTCGTTCTACGTACTCCGTGGAGGAATATTGAAAAGAGAAAAAAATTTACAACTGTGACGGAGTACGACCCTCATAGGCCAGTGGATCCAGTTAAATTTGAAGATCTCCAAACGTGGTTGATGAATTCCACTGAAAGGTATGTAATTGTGTTAAGTTAATTATGGGCTACTTACTGTAATATATAAGCTTTGTATGTCTTTGTTTAATTTATAAATTTCTTATGTAGTGCTGAAGTTGAGTTGTCCTGTGGTGGTGTTGCACGAAAAAAGTATTTCGATGATCTTGTGAACGATGGTTGGCTCACTAATGAGGTAAACTATTTAAAAAGAAAAATTATTCAATATTTAACTTTTGAAAAACATGATATTAAGTAATCTAATAAACATTATACTCTTATCATAGCATATAGATGAAGCGCTTTTTCACATTCGAGAGCGTGCCAAACAGTACACTCTCTTGTTTAGACAAGATTGTGCTGTATTGGACACGATTTTCGTGTTATACTTGAGAAACCACTTCAAGAAGATGTCGAAGAATAAAAAGATGTGGTAGATTTTCCAAATGCCTTGATTAGATACGCCTCAGGGGATCTACCAAATAATGCAAAGTCGTTGAATGATTGTACGAAAGTGTTTGTTCCTTTCTGCGACGAGGGCCATACCCACTGGGTCGCATTGGAGATTGATCTAGCCGAAAGATACATTTACGTCCATGATAGCGAAAGAACTCACATGCAGAATGCACAACTGCAAAGGGAACTGGAGCCCATTCGAGTTGTGTTACCGATGCTACTGAGAACGGTGAATGCTAACTACAGTCCGAAAAAGTTTGATTGGAAACGGTTGAAATCTCCTGAACAAAGCAATGGGTACGTATAATATACATTGTGATCATATTAAGTTTTTAAGTTATGAAATTTGGCCAACTAATTGAATCTGTACATTTATGTTGTTGCAGGTTTGATTGTGGGATGTTTACAATCAAGTTTATCGAGTTTTTGCATGCGGGGAAGAATATTCAAGACGTAGATCAGTCTATGATTAGTGATTGGCGTTTAAAACTAGCGGTTGAAATATTTGGTGCTCATTTTGATCCGTAGTTTGTTGTAAACATTCAATATGTGTGTAATGGATAATACACTTTTGTATATATTTTCATCTGTTTTTAAATGGATATTATTTTGGTGGTTCATTTTTGAAGTTGTATTTTCTACTTACATGCCAATGCAGTGGTTAGAAAACTATTTTGTCAAAATTGTTAAAAATAAGTTTAAGAAAAAATGGTTAAAAATATTAATTTAACTATATAATATCAAAATGGTCTTTTAATGAATGTTCTTGGAGATACTATCTACTAATTGTCTCGTTATACTTTACTTTTTTTTAATATATAATGAAAGTGTCCGATGACGAGCTCCTGAAAACAAATCGAGCCATCCATTAAAATAAATTTTTGAAATAACAATTGTACAATCGTTTTTTCATATAGTAGAACAATTTCACAATCGTTCTTTGAATAAATTAGACTGTCGCGGCCTGTGACATTGGTCGCGACCGCGACGTTTTGGGATTGCTCTCTGCCCAATTTTTATAATTCACAGTGTCGCCGCAGTGACAATTGTCGCGGCCGCGATGATCCATTTTTATAATGGAACGATTTTTGAATCGTTGCCTCATTCAAAGTAACGGATCCACATTCGTGTATATAAAAATCTCCAGTTTATGGCCTGTCAGTGTCGCGACCGTGACAGGCACCGCGGCCGTGACGCATCCGCTTAATGAAGGAACGGTTGTTTCATCGTTTTGATGTGTGAAATAACGGATCTAAAACCGTTACTTTAAAAATCCTCGAGTCGCGGATGCGATGCTTGTCACGACCGTGACGATATGGCCTTACTTTCTGTCCAGTGTTTTGCCTGCCAGTGTCGCGACAGCGACAAGCGCCGCGGCCGCGACGAATCCGTTTAAGTAAGGAACGATTGATTAATCGTTTTATTGTTTGAAGTAACGGATGAACAATTGTTAGCTTGAAATGCCAACGTCGCGACCGCGACATGTGTCGTGCCGTGACAATATATAGAGACCCACAGTCCATTGTTTTAATGCCCGTGTCGCGAGTGCGACAAGTGTCATGACAGCGACAAATCCTTTTAATAAAGGAACGATTGTTGAATCATTGTTTTATGCAAAGTAACGGTTCAACAATCGTGTTGTAGAAAAAGATAATGTCGCGGAAGTGATGAGTATCGCCACCGTGACGAGAATGGCAGTCCCTCTGCATGGGTTTTCCATGGCAGTGTCGCGGGCGCGACGACTGTCGCGGTCGCGACATCTACTCGTTTCATTAGAACGACTATACAATCATTATTTTGTATGATATAACGAATCTATATTCGTTATTTCAGAAATTTAAAAAAAAAAAATCCATGTCGCGGTCGCGACGTGTGTCGCGGCCGTGACCACTTTGCAACTCTCTCTGTCCGATCAACAGGTCCCAGTGTCGTGGCCGCGACAAACGGCGCGCCCGCGACACCAAATGTTTTTATTTTTATAGTTTTTTTTTTGTAGTTGCGACGAAACTCATTTTGTGAAATAATGATACTTGTTTCCTTGGTGATATACGTGTTAACCCAAAAAGACAAACCAAATCAACCTTAGACGATCGTTATACCTATAATGGAAATCATAGCCAAAACATCGCAATACCTATAATGCAAATCATATAAATCAAATCAAACTCATAGCCAAAACCGGAACACAAACCAAGACAAATATCGAATCCAAAAGACAATCCAAATAGATAAGACAAACCAAATCGAAAAAAGACAAACCGAATCCATAAGTCAAACCAAATCCAACAAAAGATAAAGAAAATCCTTAAATCAAACCAAATTCAAAAGATAACACTGATAATTATGAAGTCTGGAATAAAAGTCTTTGCATAAACACAACACACTGTCACTGTTCATCCGGTGCATTCGATGGTGGAGGTGGAGGTGTAGGGTAGGGTAGGCTGCTTTCTGAACTCCGACGAACGTCCCATTGGTTGAACGTGTCGTCCCAACGACGCCATTGTTCAAATTGGCTAGATTCCCAACGGGTCCAACGGTCGTTGTGTGCCTCCCATTGCTCTTTATTCAGTTGCATGTAGGTCTTCATCTCGGCTTCGTGCTTCGCTTGAGCCTCCCATCGCTCATTATTCAGCTGCATGTAGGTCTTCATCTCGGCTTCATGCTTCGTCCAACGAGCATCATTGATCTTAATGAAAGTATCGATCTTCGCATTGTGTGACTGTATATCAGCGCGGAGCAATGTCACCTCTTCAGTTTGGCCTCTGGTCGCTGGAGGGATGAAATAGTCCTCCGGGTCGGTATCTGGTTCGTGGGCCTCTGTCTCGCCTTCGCCATGAGGTTCGACTTGAGAGGAACCACCTACTTCTAATAGCTTCTCCAGTTCCTTCATATATACCTTGTAGCACTCACGTAGGGTGTAATAAATGACGGTGGTGCTGTCTTTCACGAGGCCAGCTTTAACTAGTTCCCCCAACCCAATCTTCTTTGGTTGAAGCGGCATTTCATTAATTTCAACTTTGAAGTGGTTGGCAAGACCAGTGACGATATTGGCCAATCTCGGACCTCGCGTAGGGTACATTTTTTAGTCCCGCAGTGTCTCCTGCACATATCCTGTAATGCATACGGGTTTCTTCGCACACATAGCCCACAACAGATAAACCTCTTTCTCGCTAACCTTGTTGGACTTTTTTTTGCCAAAGACATTGTGTGCCAAAAATTTATGAACCACAGCAATGGCTACATTTTTTATTAGCCCATTTGACGGTCCCTTGACTTTGAATTTTTCACACGGAGACAAAACGACCCAATGCTTGTGTACATCAAAATCACCGGGTGTTTGGCGAGACCCCGTTGCTCGGAAACCGAAGACCTCATGCATCACCTTGTTATCAACCTTGTATTCTTTACTTTTCATTCGGCATGTTAAATACTTGCCGTTGTCGTGTACGACGATTGTGGTGATGACTTCAAGTGTTAGTTGCGCGCATGCCACCATATCCATGGCTTCGTACTTGTCAAGATTGAGTGCCTTCAAGTATTTCTTCACGTCATCCGAGACTTTTAGCGAAGCTAGTAACTCCCAATCAAGGGTCCTTTGGATTCGACATTTTTGGGGGATGAGCCGTTTGTATGTGTTCACCTCATCTTGAGAGAAGACCGGAAATGGAATGCCGTTTGTTTGAGCCAAATTTTCAGTTTCGTTGTCCGAGCTCGAGTTGCTATTTTTTGAGCCCGGTGAAGAAGGCGGGGTTGCTATAATTGGTGCTTTCCCTTTGTCTTTCGCGTTGGCTTTGCTTTTGGAGGGAGCTTTTGATGACGTACCTCTTACCATTCTTGGTTGTTGGATACTCTTCACGGAAATGAATGGATACAAGCAATATAGCCCTCTTGCGTAGTTGTGGCAATTCGTCGAACACCTTGAGTGCAGAAAAACGGGTTTGAGAATTGTCAAGCAAAAAAAAAGTGTGATTCCTCACACCTCAAGCAATTGTTAACAATAATATTCAAGCAATTAAACGAGACCTTACCGTGCGTTGAAGTGGAGAAAACGGGTACCCTTGTAGGAATGGCCTTCGTGCAATTAGAGCTTTCAAGAAGAAGACCTTGCCAGAATTTATGTTGCCGGAATGATGGAATGTCTTTGCCGGTCGGAGTAGGTGGCCAAGTGTGAGGTGTCGTCGAATCTCGGAGATGGAAGGAGCCGGATGTGGTGTGGTGTGGTGTTGTCGATCGGTGAAATTGTGAACAAGATTTGTAAATGAAGGATTCCTTTTTTTCCTATTTATACAGGTAGAATGTCGCGGGCGGGACAGTTGTCGCGGCGGCGACACAAAATAAAAAACCGCAGTCGATCCCGGTTCGTCGCGGGTGGGAAAGTCATCGCGGCCGCGACAAAGAAAAATACACGCAGTCGACCTCGGTTCGTCACGGACGCAGCACAAAAATATAGACTGCCGCGATATTTTTTTGTATAAATTTTATAAAAAAAACACTACCTTATAAAAAAAAAAATTAGTCCAATTAAAGTCAAATTAGTACCCTTGAAGTCAAATTAATCTAATTGAAGTCAAATTAGTACAATCTCGATCAGTTATAATGTAATCGAACTCGAATTAGTCTAATTAAAGTCGAATTAATCTAATTAAAGTCAAATTAGTACACTTGAAGTCAAATTAATCTAATTAAAGTCAAATTAGTACACTTGAAGTCAAATTAATCTAATTGAAGTCAAATTAGTAC